GAAAACCACATGGGTTGGCAGCAAAAGGCAACCACAATTGAACACCTTTGAAAACCCATGTGAAGAAAGCTTCAAGAGCAGTAAAAGAAGTATGGAATGGAATTGATTCCAACCACACTAACATAGACAAGATGAAGTGAGAGTTATGGGTTGTATTAAAAAAGGAATGTTTTTATAATGGAAGTGTTGTATGCATTAGCCATACTTAATTCAGATTTTCAGCTTCCTTAGGCCTATATATAGTGAGGTTTCCCAAGCTTGTAAACACACCCCAAGGGGGGGAGCTCTCAAACACTTCTCTAGAGCTCCCTTCCCTTCTCTCCCTCAAATTTTCTTAGTTTCTCTTTCTAGTTTTCAATTGTTGTAATGAAATCTTTGTGCTGAAATTCTCCTTAAGTTTTTCTTAGTTCCACCTTACTTTTCATTGTTATGTAAATTCTTTTCTTTAGTTTCAAGTTTGATTAGTTTCCAAGTTTCAATTATGGTTTTTGTTCTTATTCATTACGCTTATAAGTTAATATGCTAGTTTGAATGATTGATCACCATTTAGGCTTGCATGTTAGCTATCTTGGTTTGAATTAAGAGTAGACACCATGCTTTAATTCGAATTGAACTATGAATAGGAAGAGTATGTATGGACATTCAACAACAGGGATTAGATACATACTTGGTTGTTTAAAATGTTCTTCTATGCTTAATGGATTCCTAATGCTTAGTTTAGGTTAGACAACAGATGATCAAATTAGGGAATTAGGAATACAAGGTTAGGACCAGACACCATGGCTTAATCATACTTTAGCTAGAATCAATCCGTTAATCTAATTGAACTTGGGAACTTATCTGCTTGAGTTATTTTCTTTTCTTTCTTTCTTGTTTTATTTATTTTCTTTCTTGTTTTTCTGTTTTGTGTAGGAAAACTGAATTGGATTATTCAATCACCAATCCATGTGGAATCGACCTCGCACTTACATATGCTATACTACCGAACGGCTCGTGCACTTGCGAGTATCACAAGTTGAGGATGCAGCTGAATCCATTTTGGTGCAGCTGAATCGACGCAGCAAACACTTTATGCAACGAAGTTTAGTAATTGGTCTCGCAAAGTCATGAAAAGATTTTAAAAATATTTGTTTTATTTTATTTATTTTGTAAAGACTTTGCGCGATGAAAAATACGTCGTCGCACAAGACTTTGTGCAACGAAGTTTATGTTCATCGCACAAAGCAACTTTAAGCGACGATGTTTTGTCGTCGCTCAAAGTCCCTTTGTGCGATGATGTTGTTTTGTTGCGCAAAATTTAGTCGCGTAAAACTTTTAGCGACGAAGTTTTGTCTTTCGTCGCGCAAAGTGACTTTAAGTGACGAATTTTTTTTCATCGCGCGAAAGTTGGTCACGCAAGGGGTTTTTAAAACTAGTTTTGTTGAGGACATCAAATTTCCACTTTCTACGGGACAATTTATTGGGCTTGAGGTTATTGAATCTCTAAGTATTATAGCCCATTGTAATGGGATAGTTTGTTTATGTGATGGTGATAACATAGTTTTATGCAATCCAGCAATCAAGGAACTCAAGCTTCTTCCACAATCATGCCTTCCACAGTCATACATGTGGTGTGGGGTTTGGATATGATCCCAAATCTAAAGACTACAAAATTCATAGAATTTCATGTGATGTCGATTGGCGTTTTATGATCAGCGTCTTGTTTTTTTTCCTCCTAGAGAGTTGAAAGATACACCCTCAGTACAGATTCTTGGCGAGAAGTCAAGGATAACTATTTAGAAACGGAAAATACTTTCTTTTGGCCTGATTATTTCCAGATGTACTGGAAAGGAATTTGTTATTGGGTGGGATATGAGCAACCAAAAGAATTCGAGTCTTACTTTGATAGACTTGAGGATGAGCAAAAGAAGACAATGATCTTTTTGTTTGACACGGGCGATGAGGTATTTCGTAATATATTACTTCCAGATAGTTTATATGAGCCACCAGAATATCGTTATATTATGTGCATTCTAGTGTGGAATGAATCCGTTGCTCTGTTTGGCTTAGATCGTTTTGGTACATTTGATGAACGCTATGGATTATGGGTGTTGGATGACTTCGACGGAGCTAAGAGTTCTTGGACTAGCTAGACACTTAACTTTTGATCCCATGGCCGGCATTAAAAGTATTTTGGAATTTTGGAAAAGTGACGAGATTGTTATGGTTACCAGAAATGGAGATGTAGTATCTTACCCCATCAAAGCAGCCTATCATATAAAAAACACATTAAGTCCAAAACTTTTTAATAAAAAACCTAGTGGACTATTTAAATGGCTCAAAATTACTAAATGGCCTTAAAAACAAATCAAAATTAAAAATAACCAAAATAAAGGCCTACCAACTGTACTAAAAAAAGGCTCAAAAGAGACTGAGCGTTATCAGTCCCTATTGCCTTCTTTAGGGACTGAAAACAGTGCCTATTGCAGTATTAGGGACTGATGTATATCAGTGTCCTTTAAAGGGGTCCTCTATTGATATTATGTCACTGATTATAAATCTCCGTGCCTAATTGTTGCAATGGGTCCCACATTTTCGTAATACCCAATACACGTTAAAGTATTCTATTAATGAAATACATCCGTGCCTAATGCATTTCCTAGGCACTGAAGATCAATGCCTACTAACTTCTATAGTAGAAAAAAAAAAAAAAAATTGACGTCGTTTGTCTCGTGCATAGACACCGTTTTTTACTTCTGAGCAAGTGATTTATACAAATAAAAGAATTGAAACACAAATTTCATACATTAGCGATTACTTGCGCTACATTTCTAGGACACTTGCAATAACGAGAAAATACGATAAATTTATAATTCCAACTTTGATTACAGAGGAAATTACTTGCAAATGAATGATCCTTCTTACTCCGTAATGATATTGCATTCTCCTATCCCTTCCCTTCTCTGCATTCCCTACAAAGTGAGCCCTCTTTTTACCTGCTAACCAGTGAAATTATCAATCAAACCACTCCAAAAAGTGACAAACAAGGCAAACAAATTGTGCAAGTGCAAATATAACAATAGTTTTTGAAACCCAT